AGCCTTGCTGGCTGGGGAATTCTGAGAGTTGAAATCCACCCATCTTAAACTTGCCACGGTTGAGAAACACTATTCTAAAAGGAAAAGCTTCAACACTGCTGAAGTTCTGCCCTTTGTCTGACAACAGATGGTGGAAAGCAATTCCTCCCAGTTTTCTGCTGGACAAGAAAAAGGGGATTCCTTGCAAGAGGAATCTGTATGACATGAGCTTAGGAGAAGAAGGTGAGAGTTTTGTGCAAGCCACATTCAGGCTATATTTAATTTATCTACATCAGGATTAAGGATTAGCTGTGTTGTTTTGATTCTGGCTGATCTATCAGCTGGAAAGTCCAGCCCTTAAAAATGCATCTCTTTTTCTGATCACATATCTGAAACCTTAGTAAAAGTAGAATAAATCAGATCCGCAAACATTAGCTGATGGTGTATTGCAAAGATCTTGGTGAATTCTGATGTCCCGTGGATTTTTGCATATATATTCCTTTTTCTTTCTTCATTGGCAGAGGGGTCATGAATATGCAGGAACTCATTAAAAAGAGACAGACCAGTTCAGTGAACAAAAGATGGCCCATTTATTTAGTGGGATAATTATGCATTACATCATAATTTTAATTGAACATAATGATGTAAGAAAGAATCAGTATATAAGCTCCTAATTTAATTTATTCTGTTCTGGAGTGTCTTAATTTCCAACCATTCAAGCTGAATTATCATATCAAATGTGTACAAGCACATGATTCCCTCTCAGAGCAATTCATCTAGGATTGTCTAGAGATATAAAGATAGAATGGAAGAGGGTTTAACATGGCAATTATTTCAGAGGTTTCGTAGCATGTGGTTTTGGAATTGAGAAGTAGTCAATATACTTTCCTTAAAACCAGTGGCTGCAACAGAAGAGCAGAATTCCTAACATCCAGGCTTTAAATCATTGAGCACATCTATTTGTATTCTTCACCATCTAGAAATAACCATTCAACTTCAAAATATTATAACAGAATTTCAGTTCAGTTTAGAAATAGCCAACCTTTACAGCAGGCAGATGTAATTATACAATCATGTTTAACACAAACTTCACCAGCATTTCAAAACCATTTGGAATATAACACAATACATTTTTTGTGTGGTTGATTAGTTAAGGATATTCATGCAAAGGGAAACATTCAGAGATTACAAAAGTCACAAAACATCAGGATTTAAAGTATTTTTGACAAAGGATCAGTTGAATTAACCGTTTAACAGTCAAACCAAAGGGTTTGAAACACTAGATCAAAAACTAGTGAGGTGCACTTTCATTTATTCAGAGATATGGTACACAAAGCCATACCCATGAATAAATTTTTAAAAGCTAGATTATTCTTATTTCTTCTCCTCACCAAACATGCATAGCTGGTCAGCAAAATTATTCCACTTGTATCAAACGCTTGACAAATTCCAAAACAATTTTAATAATGAAATCAAAGTTTCAACAAAACAGAAATTATTTATGCTGCAAAATATAAAAAAATGCCACTACTGTTTTTGTTAGTGCATAATAATGGGCAGCAGGTATTTTTTCATGTAAAGATGCTATTTGAAAAACAAGGCCCCTATACTTCCAGAGTCTGATAGCAAATTAAAATAGCACAGTAATATCCATTTTGTCCTTCATATGTTGTCAATTATCACTCTGTTGCCTTCAAATTTAATTGAGAGGATTTTCAAGAGCTCTGTAGCAGTGAGATTAAAATACATTGATGTCTTAGGTAATATGGCTCTTGATGAAGTTATATTGGCCTTGCATTTCCAATATGCAGGAACAGAGAAAGAGTAATCTCATGAAATAAAAATCCTCTAGCTTTATTATAGATGATTGAAAAGGGTACATGAAATTATGTCATGCAAGCTTTTTAATATATTGCATATTCAGATGCATTCTGCCCTGAGGCCAATGCAATTAATTGCTTTCTTTCTTTTTTATTTATTTATTTTATACACAGGATTATTCCAAAAAAATGTAAAATGCCAGAAAATTTCTGAATACTCTGTCTCATTCGGTTTTAACAGACAGAAAACTGGAGAAAATGTTGAAGAACAAAACATGACTTTAAGACAAGATATAAATAAGGAAATCACTGTGCTTTTAATGTAGCATCTCAGCACTTGGAACGTTAAAATAAATAATTTATAAACAAGGAAAAATAATTTAAAATGGGGTAGCTGTACAAATCATGAAATAAAAGAACCAATTACGGAATCATTTGTACCTTCATTAGGGATTAGTAGCAGATTGAGGCTTTATTGGCTTCAGTGATAAAAGAATTGCTTAATATTAGACCCTAACTATTAATAAAAGATTCACCCTACTCCGTGCAGTTAGGCATAGTCCTGGGTTACTAATTCCAGTAAAACAAAAAAATTTTTGTTTAAATTCAGTTAAACAAAAATGTTGGGTAGACTATAACCTTGTTTAGAAAATGCTCTTTTTTTAATGGACTTTCTCATTGCTAAAAGATTCCTTCCAAAGAATGAATAACTATGAATTTTTATTAAGAGGCCTTCTGAATACCATTACTTTCTTTGTAACATTCAGTCATTTTCTCATTTGGTTTGAGCACTTTCTAGATCTTGAGTTTTCAGCAAGTCATCACTTGGCATAATAGTAAAGATCTGGATGTGTCTGTTTTATATACGCAAATTCACCACTGCTGCAGACAAGAAAAAAAAATAAAGGCGTACAAAAGTCCACATCTTCCTAACGAAGGCTGATATTGGATGTTTCCATATCCAGCTAAGCCAGTTTAAATGTGTGCATGTATGTGCAAATACATAGCAGATTCTCTCCCTGCATCACTCTTCATTTTGTGAATGAATATGTGTTCATTCCCATCTGTTTCTGGATTTAAATGGGAATGCGTATGCTTGCCTTTCTCTGGACTGGACCTATACTTTTGATATTCAAATGTTTAAAATTATTCCCCAAAATTTAAAAAATAAAGTCTCAGGCAATATGGCTGACTATATATTCCAGCATTTTGAACACTCTGAAAATAGACATTTCATGATGATGATGTTCCCAGTTATGATGTGTAACCGATATTAAATAGAACCTGGTATTTTTAGCACTGTTACTCAGGTATGAGCCCACAACCTCCTCAGCAGTAAGTGGAATTTATGTCCAAGCAACTGCATTTTTTTTTTACTTTTCACCAGAGCCTTTCCCCAAGTCAGCATTCATAGGACTGCAGCCTGAAATCATTTAAATAGTATTTTTTGCAAAACATGGTTCCAAAATATGGCAAGAATAAGAGTCACACTGTAGCATAGCATATGTTGTAGGACCTATATGGGCCCAGCTCAGTTACAGAGACAGTTTGATCTAACAGATATTCTGAGGTATACATTGGGAGAGTGGGAATCGTTCATTAATAGAATACAAATCAAAGTGAAGGTATGATCTGATCATTGCTAAGCACTTTTAAGGCCTCTTGATTTCACTGGCTAAGAAATCATGTGCTTCTCTCTTGGAAAACAACATGAATAAAGTAATTTGCATTATCCACAAGCAAAACTACAACAAAACTCTCCATAGGTCTCTTTTTAGTGTTCACCAACGTTAACTGCAACCTTTGCTCCTGGATGGCGACCCCACCACTTCAAAAACAACAATATCAAGTTTAGGATGGCTGTTAAAGTGAGGTGAATGTTTGAAGTTTCTGGCACTCTTGAGGACCTCTCAGTTCAACCAGATACTTCTGCTTAATAGCTAGCTGTTCGTGTAACCCCTCTCTAAAGTTGGCCATGGCAGCCTTAGGGGCTGCCAATAAAGTAAAGCATTAAAATGTTAAATATAGCACGAGATAAGCAACATAGAAAGACGTAAATGAGTGCAATTAGCTCCTATGGCTCTACCAACAGAGCTGTATATGATTTGGACTGTCACACAGAGGTCATTTAAACTCAATGTATTTCCATCTAGTTAATTCCCTATCATACTAATTACTTGTCACTAGGGGCACAGGAGGTTGCTTTCAAGTAGTTTGTGGACTTCACTGGTAACTTGACCAATGTCTCCTGGCAAAAATTCATCTGCTCCACAGTACATCAATTGCTGATTAGGCTTATCCTGTTTTTAGCACCTTGTTTACTGGTTTTGCAATGATATTTATTATTAGGCACAAAGATGGCCACTTAGACTTTATGGTTTCCTTGGCTGAGGTCTCCCCTCCCGCTTCCCCCTTTTTGGTTTAAATTTTAAGAAGGAGCTTTTTCTTTAAGATTCAGGGGGCTGATGTCAATTTATCCCAGCTGATCTGATATCTTTTAGAATGGAGAGAGAAGATATTGCCAGATATCTTATAATTTCTGTCTTGTAGTTCATATCAGCACTGCAGAGGTGGAACAAAGGGACCTGGATCTGTTCAGGCCTTCCTTACTGTAATGTATTAAGGCTATCTGATTGAGAATAAGAATTCTGCTCACAGGTGAAATTGGTAACAGTATAACTGAGAAACCCAGCAGAAGGCTCAAAATTATAACTTGAAATCTAGTGAGTAATCCATCTTGCTTCTGAACATTGTGCAGAATAATGTAATTTATCCTTCATTTTCTTTTGTACCCAGTATTTCTCAAATTTACTGGGGAAATTCTTGAAGGAAGAATGCCAAGCGATGCAGGAACAACCTGTGTACTCTGACCTGAGTTATTTGTTATGGAATGGGCTAGAATAAAAATTGCTGACAGTTTGGACAATCCCCTAAAACACGAATCTAAACCTATTATCTTCAGTCCAAGATACCAATCCCACTTCTGTTGCTAAATTTACCACCAAATGCATTAATATTGATTCATCTGATTAACGCTCCCACCACCACTTGGTTTTACCAAGGTAAGGTCCTAGTCTGATAACACTGGATTTGGGAGTAATAAGTGAAAATTATCCTGGACTTTTAAATGATCATAAAACACAGTATGTTTACTTCAAGTTAATTTGAATTTTTTGTCTGGATACCAAACAGAAAAAAGCACCAAGTCATTAGCTTGTCCAGAAGGAAGGAAGAGATCCTTAAAACAAAATTCTACCCTGAAACACAAAAGTAAGCACAAGGAAACAATTATGCATATATTATTCAATAAAACCCTTTTCAGGCTTAATCAAGTTAAAGGTATAAAGGAACCAGCAGCTAATATTGTATAAAACAAGTTTGTAAACAATTCCAATGCAGCAGAGTAGTACCAGTCAAAAGACACAATTCAGAGAAAATTAGGCATGCCAGAATTCTGTTAAAATCAATGCAGTTTAAGTGCTTTATCGTGTGCCTATTTAGTTTGATGCCATTTCGGCACGCCCAACTTCTTCTGCAACACCCCCATCTACACATTCCATTTCAACATATTTTCCACAATGTTGTGCAATAATACAAACAAAACACCAGGGTGCATTTTGCCCAAGGCAAGCTATCTTCAAATAAAATATATACATTTTTAAATTTAAAAAATTAAAAAAAAATCCTAACTGAAAAAACAAATCTCAATGTAAAGTATTTCTGTATTACTTTAAAAAAGTGGAACAAACCATCTGCACATCATTTCTAATAACCATACTTTTTGGTGCAAATATGTCAGAAAAAAATATAAAACACCATTTAAACAACAGAAAGGAAATGTGGAGTCAGTAACTTGAGCTGAATGGGCAAAATAAGATTTGTAGCATACTTTCTTCTCTTTGCTTCAGTAGGAATCTAGGTTCCAAGCACATTAGTAGTCCTAGCCAAATAACTGGGAGGAACAAGTTTGACTTCCATTCTGTAGTTATGATCACGTGATGCACCCAGAGGAACTTCAAAGATCTTCAGCCATCTGGACACTGTGCTTTAAGCTCTTCCCATGCCTTCCTTTGTTAAGACCGTAGATATGTGTCTGGACTCAATGAGGCAGTCATGCTTACTGGTTCCTTGATACAAACTGTACCTTTGCTGTGAGAACTTGAGTTCAGTCTGTGTTGTGAGATTTCCCCCCAACTCTTAGGTTGCATATGAAGAACAAGGTTAAGGAGGAGGCTTAAGTAGACAGCTGACGGGGGCACACTGAGAGCTGGAATGTGGCTGTTCTTCTGGAAGAGCTACATCAGGACTGGAATGAAAAAGTTACTATTTAAAATACATGGCAAAGTAAGACGTGTGCAAAGAGGAAAACTGTTTTCATGGGGACCAGTGCTGCTCTGTGCCTTGATGGTATTTTAATTATTCTGCATATACCTATACAGGTAGTCCCTGGGTTAAGAACACCTAGGTTACAGATGACCCATAGTTAAGAATGGAGCCTACTGTAGCCAAATTTGACTTAAATATACAATGATTTGAGTTAAATACACAATGGTTCAAGTTCATTGCACAATACTACTTATACAGTATTATACAATAATACTGTTCCAGCTTACATACAAATTCATCTTAGGGACAGACCTTGGGAACAGAACTTGTTCTTAGGACTACCTGTAATTCTTAAATGATATGTAGCAACCATATGTGCTTATAGAAGACAAACACTGATCCATCTTCATGAGAACCAAAACCAACAGCGCCATATTTATAATGAAACCGGAAGAAATTATATAATGTAAATTCAATTTAAACAGGCCCCTAAACTATTCTGTGATAGATGGGAAGGTTGATTTAGCCCAGATGTTCAAAATCAGATGTTTGCAAATAAGAGAAGCATTTTTTGTTGTTGCTGCTGTTCTAAGAAGTCCCAGGAGTATGAACAATTTTGAAATGTGTTATCGACATAGTGCAACTAAGGATCATTTGCCAAACATTATGAAGTGGCAATATCTTCAGTTGAAACCCTTGTGGACATGTAAATATTGGTCAGCATCTAAAGTGCTTCACAGCCTGATCTACCACTAGAGGACTTTACATGTTCTTTACCAAGTAATAAAACTGTCACCATTATTTTTAACAGACAATTAAAACACTCTAAATTAGATGTTAAAGGTACAGGGAAGCATGGAAATGGAATGTCTGCTTCAGATCTGTATGTCACACTTCTATGCATTTTAAATTATCTGCATTATTTTGCATTCATTGGACACATCTTTTCAGGAAGACATTTGTGGGTGCAGTGATACCCAAAATGCAACATTGGTTCATATGATTTCTTATAGTTGCTCCTTTTGGACAGCAGTTATTTCACACATTAATTTTGTTCTGGAAGATTCACTGGTTTTTAGGCCTAATTTTATTATTCTGAACTGTATATCGATGGATTAGAAACTAACAGGAGGATCGCAGAAATGGATATTACACACATTTATGACTACAACACTACCTTCACTATTAAGTGGGAATGAAACAAATTCTCCATGAATAATGCAGTGGTCTGAAGAGCTCTCTTTTGTATTTCAGGAAGCATTTTACCAACAGGACCTCTATTTAGAACACTTTAGAAATGTGGACTGCATGTCTGAGGTTAAAAACTTAAATTCTCTTTTTTTCTATTAAATAAAAACATTGAATTGTTAATTCTGCAACATGAAAAAGAATACATCTGTAGTATTGTTTGGTATAGTTTTGTGGGCTATTTCCCCCCTCCTTTGTCTTCTTTCTTGTTCACATAATAAAAAAAATAAAAATAGACCTATTGCGGCAAAACTCACTTCCAGGAAATCTAACCATTGGAAAAGTTACCAGTTGATATTATGGATCGCACCACTTTAAGCTGCAGGTGAACAACCCCCAGGCTGCATGCGGCCCTTCGTTCTTCACAAGGCAGCCCGTGGTGCTCTAGGACCCCTGCCCACTCTTGTTCACTGATTAGCCCATCACTGAAGGATGGAAATAGATCACTGCTTTCCAGCTGCTAATGTCAGTAGGGAACTAGAAGTCTGGAGCAAGCTCCCAGTGACTTAATATTTTTAAAGCACAAATATTATGAAAATTAGCAGAGCTAAAATTAACATATGCTATAATGTTGCAAGTTTAAAGGAACAGAAACATTTAAAAATGTATTCCTGTATCAGTTTGCTTTTGCCCAAATGAGAAAGAATGGACTGTGGCATATGTTAAACCAAAGAGATGAAGATAAAAATGTAGGATAGTTACAAAGAACAACATAGCCAATTAACAACTTTACAATGCGAAATGTGAGCTTATTCAAAATGCAGCTTCCAATTTTTTCCCCGGCATATGTTTTTTGACCTTTAACAACTATGTGATGTGCAGAAATGTGGTTTTCTCACATGCCAATATACAATTTTGGAGGGTGGAACATGAAATGTCTGCCTACTGTGCAGTTACTAAATGTACATATAGCATTTATAAGAAAAATAAGTCTAGACAGATAAAAATATTCAGCAAAAACACAACTGGCTTGTATTGAACTAGGTGTGCCTCTAAAGTTAGCCCTGGAAGACAGGTAGGAATTGGATCCTATCCAAGGAACACCTCTGGCAGGGCAGATGTCAAGAGACAAAGCTTCAGAGGAAGGTAAGCCACACCCCTGCTCCAAAGCCACTCCCATTCAGGTTCATTTCTCCATGCAAGATAAAGCAGGGAACCAGTTGCCAGTAGGAAGGGTTCAGACACTGGGATGGAGTCACATTTGTAAGCATGAGATAACCATTATCATGATCTGATAACCTGATCTGTAATCAAGGTTGCCCAGAGAGGTAGAGCTGGCTAGACATACGAGCCTAATGATCCTGCCACAATTCAGCCTCCTGACCTTCCAAGGAGCTCCAGGCGGTAGTCAAGTGACACTGCGACATCATTAGAATGTTAGATGGGCTAAATTATTGTCTTCCAATTTTTTAGCCTTCTAGCAGGTTTTAAGAGTGGGGATGAAGCAATAGGCCTTCAGAAGTTCCCATCTCTATCCTTTAAACCAGTCCAAAGTTGGACTAAAATGCATTGTCCCACTTCAGTCATGTTGCTCCCAAACTTTGGGTACAATCTTGGGAGCCACAAATAGCTATGAGCTTCCCACCCCTGTTCTAGCTGATAATTTATATCAAGAATCAAGTCAATATATCAAAAGTGGCAATACTAAGAAATAAATACATGGGCAAACTTTCATGGGCTAAATGTGTATGACTTCTGGGAAAAAAATGTTATACAGCTACCTCTTGTGAGCACTAAATGATAGTAGCATAGAACAAAGTGTGGCTCTTCCCCTCCATCCTCCGTCTCTGGCTGACATTTGGTTTCAGAGACTGTGCAATTTTCATATATGCAACCCTACATCAATATCTGTCTCAGTGTACAAATTATGTCCTCAAACCAGAGCAATGAACCCTGGAGAATGTGGGGTTTTGATTAGCATGTTATTACTTAATATGTATTCTGAGTCCTTTCAATTCCATCTAGTACCTTCAGGACTAGCAGTGTGACCTATAGTCAGATATAAATGCTGTTTTTTCTTTTCTTTCTTCTTTTTGGCAACATTTGCCACTTTCGCTCATCACTACTCAGTTGGACTACCATAATGGTCTCTATATGGGCCTGTCTTTAATGACCATCACAAGCTTCAATTGGTGCAGAATGTAGGGGCCTCTTCATTATCTGGCATTTCTTGCTGAGAGCACATTATACCTATGCTATGGCCCCCAAACTGACGCCCTAATATGCTTCTGGGCGCATTTCATAGTGGCAGTTTTGACCTATACAGACCCATATGGCTATGGTGGGTCCCATATAGCTATTTGGGTATATGGTACCCACATATCTTCAGGACCACATTCTCTAACCAGAATCAACCTGACCAATCCAGTTTTCCTGGGAGAGATTACTGATAGTAGCCAATTTCCATGATATTAGAAGAGCTGAAGCTCAGAGGTGCTACATGTTTGTTGGAATTAGACTTACTCCCACCTTATTCCATTTTAGAAGATCTCAAAACTGAGTTCTTCCATACAATGTCTGCTGATTGACTGGATATTTATTTTTACTTTTCATTGTTTATCTTAGCCTGGATGTTTAGACACATACAGTGTTGTTAGCTGCTAAGAATCCTGTGGGACTCAGTGGTATACAAGTTGCATGAATGAATGAATGAATGAATGAATCAATAAACTGACTTTTTAAAACTCCTTCCTCTTTTTTTTTCTAACCCCCATCTGTCTTGAATGAAAAAGCTTCCAAATGTCTGTGACATTTCTGCAAATGTCAGTGTGCATATTATGGTTGTATGTTGCTTAGAATGCCGCTTTGGCAGAAAATGTAGCCTAGCAATATTAAATAATAACTCTGCTCATATAATAATGAAGCAAGCGAAGAGAAGCCATGAAGATTAAGCAATTAAGACACACCAGATCCACTGATGTTTACCAACTACTCTATATATAAGCCTATTATCTCACATTCTTTTAAATTCTTTCAATCGGGGTATCTTCCCACTTCAACTTTAGGCCTGTGAAGTGCTCATGCACAATAATATATTTTCCAGGAATATAGCATATTCTATTACTTATAAACCCTTGGAACTCTATTGTGATAAAATACCCCAAGTTCTTTTCAAGTTAGTTGCCAAAGAAAAGAAATTTAAAGAACAAAAGGAAACAGTGCAAGGAAAAAAACCACAGAAAAGCATATACATTTTCCTTTTTGCACCAAAAGTGACAATTGAGTAAGTTCCTCAAATTATTTCATTTTGCAGTCCAGTGTGTAACGTTTGGAAGTGTTAAATTCATGTTTTCATATTATTTTTGAAGTATCCTTTTTTGAACCTTATTGAAATTGTCTTTTGTCAGAGAGGGAAGTGCTGAAATAACCATATTAAACTGCAAAGCAAGGATCAGTAATTGAGAGGATTATACTGTCATGTAGTACAAGATGAGATCAAACATGGAGTGGTTAAGCGTGGCAGATTCACCAATCCTAATGGCCTTTTTAAGGTTGTGAGAATTTTGGTGGCAAATTATTCATTTGAGGTAATCTCCTCTTTCCTACTTTCTTCACATTGCATCTTGTCTTGGTATTTTTTCCTATGGGTTTTTTTCTTTTTTTGTGGCCTGAAGTCAACAGCTCAGGGAACAGGAAAGTATGGGGAAATCACATTTTAGGAACTGACTAATTTTGGCATATTGAATGAAAAGTATTGATTGATTTCATTATTTCAGCACTTAGCACATGAACCATATTTTAGCTGAGGCCTGCTTGGTCCATGATTCCAGAGCAATTACCCATCTTGCCCCCACACCCAAAAAAGGCTCTGCCGATCCCTCAGAGAAGTCTTCTTCTCTCAGTGCATATCCAAGATAGATTGAAGAATCTATTTTGTAGTTCTTTAGAACATTTTGAACAAATATGTCTAAATCATAAACATAACTGCTAAGATTCTGGAAGTTTAATTGTAATAAAACATACAGAATATAGCAATATAACTATTACTTTCTTGTGTAGACAAAAGTATAAAGCACTTGCCAAACAATAGGATGGTCTTACAATCTCCTGTTCTGAAGTTCTCAAATGAGACTGCAGTGCAATATCATCCCTAGAGTTCCATTAGTTAGATAGATGGCCATGTAAATTTGTTTAATAAATAAATACATATCTGAAGCTGCAGTATCAGCTTCAGGTTTGGGGCAATAAGATAGGGCTTCCCTGAGCATTCATGAAAACTAGTTCATGCTAGTCAACTTAAAAAAAAAATCCTTTGGAGTATTTTAGAACCTTCCATGTATAAGAAGACCTGCAAGACCAGGTTAGGAACAGAACATCGTGGAGAAAATCTATCTATGTGGTCGCTAAGAGTCAACAACTTGATAGGAGATAATCAGTCACTCAATTCCATGTATGGCATGGTACATAAGCATGGAAATAGTTAGAGACACTATCCACAAAGTATCTCCTATCCTATCATTGAACAAGAATGTTGCACAAAACCTTATTCACCACAAAAGATAAGGAAAGAAATGCATTAGTTCAATTCCCCTCAAGGATTATGAGGGAACCACTTGATCTTAGAAAAGAGTCAAATATTTCTAAACAAGATTTCCAACTCATTAAGTGGTGGGTATATGCGTACTGTATCATTTTCACTGCATCTTTGCAAACAAGTTCATAAAAGTGACTAAACAATAAAATGTTTATTAGCACCTAGAAGTTGCAGCTATTTGTATCAGTTATTTATTGATAAAGTTAGAAGAAACATAAAATACGGCCAGGGGAGGGAACACTAGAAGAACACACCTCCTTATAGTCCCCCTCAACCGATGCCTTCCGGCTGTTTTGAATTTCAACTCCCATAATTTCTAGCTAGAAATTAGTATGGTGTTAAAAAATAAGTCCAACAGATTTGGAGAACAAAAGATTGAAGAAGACTGCTTGCATGGGTCATCTAAACACCATATTCTTATTTTTACTGTTAACATATGTATTAACAAATAAGGATTCTCACTGGACTGTTTACAAAACTTGCAGCTTTTCTGATTGGCTTTTCTGATTGGTAGCTGGAAATAGACAAGAGTGATACTTGTTCCCCATCCTGACATAATGATTTTTTATTCCAATCCTGCTCAGGAATACCATCCCAGATTACTTTTCCAGCTTCAGTTTGAATTTATCTAATTAAGAGGAATCCATCATCTCTCTGTCACTGGTTCCATGGTCTATTCTATTATTAGGAAGTTTTTCCTAACTTTCAGCTAGAATCCATTTCTCTGTAACACCACTATTCCATGTTTGAGTATGTGTTCATCCTCAGATTATGTTTGCTCTTCTGATCTGGCCCTCATTTTCTTGGGCACCACTGTAATTTTCCCAGCAAGTCCTGCCAGAACAAATGGGTTTGTTGGGACTGCAGTGTTTAGTCGATTCATTAGATCAGGTTTCTCAACCTTGGCAACTTTAAGATGTGTGGACTTCAACTCCCAGGGCTCCCCCCCCCCCCCACCCCCCCTTCGCTGGTGGGGTTGGTTGGTTTGGGGTATTATTTGCTTATAACATAAAAGTAATAAAAACAAACAAACCTATGAT